AAAAGCAGCCATCAGACCTCACTGTAATGACCTGTCGCCTCTTTGTTGTTGTTGCTGTTTTTGAGACAAGAGTCTTGCTCTGTCGCTCAGGCTGGAGTGCAGTGGCACGATCTCCACTCTCTGCAACCTCTGCCTCCTGGGTTCAAGCGATTCTCCTTCCTCAGCCTCTGAGTAGCTGGGATTACAGACATGCACCACTGACGTCCAGCCAATTTTTGTATTTTTTGTAGGGAAGGGGTTTCACCACGTTGGCCAGGCTGGTCTCAAACTCCAGGCCTCAAGCGATCTCCCCATCTTGGCCTCCCAAAGTTCTGGGGTTACAGTTGTGAGCCACCACACCCGGCCTCTTGTCACTTCTGTAATGAGGATGGGGATCATGCCTGTTGCTCCCCTCTGTGACCCCAGCACCCTGCTTGCTGCAAAGGAAGCACTCAGAAAACTCAGATTTGGAGTCAAACAAACTTGTGTTCAATCCCCAAAGCTGGGGGAACTCCAGGAAACTGGTACAACATACCCACAGCGTTGTGCTGTGGCGAAGATTCAATAGAACGATGTTTACGATGCTGGATCCTCACAGAAGTTTGATAAATATTCATGGAGTAAATGAATAAATACACAGCTTATTGTGGGTAACTCCCTTTCTGGGCACCGAGGAAGGAGAGCTAGGCAGACCCCCGGCACAATTAGTGTCTGAAGAATATCTTACTGTTCATTCATTTCCTTTTATATAATCCTTTTATGTGGTTATATCTTAGTTTGTAGTCGGAGGAGTGTCAAGGGCAGACACGGTGCAGAGCATGCACTAGGGAAAACAGCCAAACTGGGACAAGAATCTGTGGCGCAGGCGGTGGTGCCCCTGCCTGCAATGGCATGCACTACATGGCAGGCCGGCCCAGGCAGCAGCGATCAGTATCATAAAAATACCCTCTGTATGGCAGGCTTGGAGCAAGAATCACTCCTCCTGTAAGGGAGCTGTAGTATCTTGCATCCAGTTCTTATGGAAAGCTGGCCTCAGGCCGGCAATCCTGAGAACGTCTGAGGGGTTAAAACCCCTCCGGCACAATTGCGCCCTGGTGGCTGTATACCCTGTCAGCTCTGTGCTACTGTGCTGGCTCAAAACATCCTCCTGTGGAAATCCTTAGAAGTTGCCTGCTCCTAGATAAGAGATGCTGCACATGACGCCCACCTTGCTGCACACCACCCACCTCCTTGCTGCACACGGCACCCTCCTTACAGCACACGGCACCCTCCTTGCTGCACACGGCACCCTCCTTGCTGCACACGGCACCCTCCTTACAGCACACGGCACCCTCCTTGCTGCACACGGCACCCTCCTTGCTGCACACGGCACCCTCCTTGCTGCACACGGCACCCTCCTTACAGCACACGGCACCCTCCTTGCTGCACACGGCACCCTCCTTGCTGCACGCGGCACCCTCCTTGCTGCACACGGCACCCTCCTTGCTGCACACCGCACCCTCCATACTGCACACCACCCACCTCCATGCTGCACACAGCACCCTCCTTGCTGCACACCGCCCACCTTCTTGCTGCACACGGCACCCTCCTTGCTGCACACCGCCCATCTCCATGCTGCACACCGCCCACCTCCATGCTGCACACTGCACCCTCCTTGCTGCACACCACCCACCTCCATGCTGCACACCGCCCATCTCCTTGCTGCACACCGCCCACCTCCATGCTGCACACCGCCCACCTCCATGCTGCACACCGCCCATCTCCTTGCTGCACACTGCCCATCTCCTTGCTGCACACTGCACCCCCCTTGCTGCACACCGCCCACCTCCATGCCTCAGTGACCTAATGGGGGTGGGCCCTTTGCTTATTGCTCACGTAATTGTCTTGACCCTATCACTATCTCCAAGATGACCTCACTCACTAACCTTCCCCCCACCACACCTATGCCAAATAAACACAGATGCCCCTGAGCACTCGGGGACCTCGCCTATCTCCGCTTGTAAGCGGCGTTGGCCCCTGAGCCCAGCTGTTCTTATCCTATCTTTTGTGTCCTGTCTTCTTATTTCTCAGATCCAGCGCCTTAACACAGCGATAGGGGACACACACGACCCTAGTAGGGCTGGACCCTACTCTTACAAAGGGAGAAAGGCCCCTAGTTCTTGCCAGTTTTTTTGTTTTTTTGAGATGGCGTCTTGCACTGTTGCCTGGGCTGGAGTGCAATGGCTCACTGCAACCTCCATCTCCCGGGTTCAAGGGACTCTCCTGCCTCAGCCTCCCAAAGTGCTGGGATTACAGGCATAAGCCACCACACCCAGCCTTGCCAGTCACTTTTAAGATACACCAGGTTGGCCTGGTGTGGCAGCTCATACCCGTAATCTCAGCAGTTTGGGAGACTGAGGCAGGAAGATCAATTGAGTCCAGGAGTTCAAGGCCAGCCTGGGCAACACAGGGAAACCCCATCTCTATAAAAAATACGAAATTAGCCAGACGTGGCAGTGCGTGCTTGTGGTCCCAACTACTGGAGGTGCCGGGGCAGGACGGTCCCTTGAGGCTAAGAGTTTGAGGTTGTAGTGAGCCACGGCTGTGGCACTGTACTTCAGCCTGGGCAACAGAGAGAGGCCCTATCTCGAAAATAATTAATGAATAATTGAACTAATTAAACATTTTTTAAAAGATACAAGAGGCAAGGTTGGGCACTGTGGCCTGCACATGTAATCCCACTGCTTTGGGAAGCCACGGTGGGAGGACTGCTTGAGCCCAGGAGTTCAAGGCTGCAGTGAACTGTCATTGCAGTCCAGCCTAGGAAACAGGGCAACACCCTGTCAAAAAAAAAAAAAAAAAGAAGTGGCAAAATGTCCAGACTGATACATTTTTCATCAATTGAGGTACAGAGTAAAAAAATCAATAAATAAGGCCAGGCACAGTGGCTCACACCTGTAATCCCCAGACTTTGGGACGCCAAGACAGGAGGACAGCTTGAGTCTAAGAGCTCAAGACCAGCCTGGGCAACATAGTGAGACCCCACATCCATAAACATTTAAATAAATACATTTTAAAAAAACTTTAACCGTACCTGGAGCTGAGATGAATTCAAAAACAACAACAACAATTTGTACAGCGAGGAAGACAATACCATTTATATGTAAAACACAAAACAGACATATTTGTCAGGTACATCCCCAAGTAGCCAAACATTCTGAGAAAGTTCTGGAAAGACACACATTAAGCCATGGCAACTGGAGAAGGGCTAAGGAAATTTTCCACGTTGGAACTTCTGGGGCTAGGCACGGTGGCTCGCGCCTGTGATCCCAGCACGTTGGGAGGCTGAGGCGGGCAGATCACCTGAGATCAGGAATTCAAGACCAGCCTGGCCAACATGGTGAAACCCCATCTCTACTAAAAATACAAAACTTAGGCATGATGGCAGGCCCCTGTAGTCCCAGCTACTCCGGAGGCTGAGGCAGGAAAATCTCCTGAACCCGGGAAGCTGAGGTTGCAGTGAGCTGAGATCCCACCACTGCACTCCAGCCTGGGCAGCAAAGTAAGACTCCGTCTCAAAAAATAATAATAATAACAAAAATTCGCCAGGCATGGTGGTATATGCCTGTAATCCCAGCTACTCAGGAGGCTGAGGCAGCAGAATCACTTAAGCCAGGAGGTGGAGATTGCAGTGGACTGAGATCACACCACTGTGCTCCAGCCTGGGTGACAGATTGAGACTCCATCTCAAAAAAAAAAAAAAAAAAAAAACCACGTCTAGGTCACCTGAGTTTTTTTACATTCCTTTGGTGTTTGCAAAATAAATTAAAAACAATGAAACAAAAAGTCTGAGATTCTCCCATCTTCATCCCAGCCCGGATCCCCCAGCATCTAGCGTCCCACAGGACCTCCATTCATCCCCATGCCAGGGCCTCAAGCTCCAGGGAGTCCCCCGCAGGGAGCTCACTACCCCTGGGCTGTGTTGTTTCACTGTTTGACAATCAAGTTCTTTCCCAGGCGAATGAGGATCCCATTTAGCTAAGCTGTTTCCAGATCCCTGAGGCTCCTGGGTCTCCACGCAGCCTGGGTGTGACTTCCCTGGATCCCCTCATTTGCCCACGCAGAAGTCCCGGAAGATGATGTCCAGGATCTCCTCGGTCCCCCCTCCACCTGTGAGCCGGGTCAGGTGCCCCCGGGCCACCCGCAGTGCCTCCGCCGCCAGGGCCAGGTCTTTCGACTGCTTGTAGTGGCCGAGGGCATCCAGGCAGCCCTGGAGGTGGTGCTGGTGCCTTGCACGGGTCAAGAGCGGGGGACCTGTGGACGGGTCCCCACACCTGGAAGAGACAAGAGACATGGTCTCTCCCGATCTTTTGCAACCATCCCTTGAAGGGAAATGGTTGTACCCTTTTTTTTTTTTTTTTTTTTTTTGAGACGGCGTTTCGCTCTTGTTACCCAGGCTGGAGTGCAGTGGCGCGATCTCGGCTGACCGCAACCTCTGTCTCCTGGGTTCAGGCAATTCTCCTGCCTCAGCCTCCTGAGTAGCTGGGACTACAGGCGTGCGCCACCATGCCCAGCTAATTTTTGTATTTTTAGTAGAGACGGGGTTTCACCATGTTGACCAGGATGGTCTCGATCTCTTGACCTTGTGATCCACCCGCCTCAGCCTCCCAAAGTGCTGGGATTATAGGCGTGAGCCACCGCGCCCTGCCGGTTGTACCCATTTTGTAAGTACAGAAATTGAAGTTGGGCAGGCATGGGCCAGCCCACACTTGAACTTGGGCCAGGGGAGGCTAGGGGTGGGAGGGGACTCACACTGCAGCTAGCTCCTCCCTCAGCGCCTCCAGGAGGCCGTCCAGCCCCTCTCCCGTCACACAGGACAGCAGCAGGTGCGGGGGCATGTCAGGACCGGGACCTGGGCCCTCCGTAGACAGCAGGTCCGACTTGTTCAGCACTAGGAGGAGGCGCTGGCTGCTGTCACTGTGGCTCTGGGCTCCCACAGAGGCTACGACAGTGGCCAGGAAGTTGCAGCTGGAGGGAGAGGCCAGGTCAGAGGCATCCAGCATGGCCAGAATGAGGTCAGCCTGCTCCAGCCTGGGGGAGCAAGGAGGTCAACTGAGCGGGGGGTCCCAAGTTGAGCAACTGAAGAAGGCACTGGGCGGAGGAGGGACAGTGAGAGGGGCCAGGTAGAGCACTCGGGAAGGTGCAGAGTGTGAGGTAGGGAAGGTAGGAGTAGAGTACCAGGGGTCCAGCAGACTGTCAGGGGCCCAAGCCGAGCACAGATGGAGCGACAGATTAAGAGGGGCGGGGCACAGTGCAGGGGGTAGAGCAAAGAAAGAGGGGCGGGGCACAGTGCAGAGGGTAGAGCAAAGAGGGGCGGGGCACAGTGCAGGGGTGGAGCAAAGAAAGGGGCGGGGCACAGTGCAGGGGTGGAGCAAAGAAAGGGGCGGGGCACAGTGCAGGGGGTAGAGCAAAGAAAGAGGGGCGGGGCACAGTGCAGGTGGGGGACAGAGCAAGATGAGTGGACCACACAGCGCAGGGGGTGGGGCAGAACTAGAGGGGTGGGGCACAGCAGAGGGGCGGGGCAGAGCAAAATAAGCGGGGCACAGCACAGGGCAGACGGAGGAGCATAGCAAATAGGCCAGGGCACAACACAGGGGTTGGAGCAGAGCAAGAGGGGCGGGGCACAGTACAGGGGGCGGGGCAGAGTGCCAGGGGCTGAGCACAGCACAAGGGGCTGGGTATAGCACTGGGAGTGGGGCGACCGTGAGGGGCGGGGCAGAGCGAGAGGGGCCGGACACACAGGGACAAGGGAGAGCACTAGGGGCGGGCAGAGTGCAGGGGGTGGGCAGAGCACAGGGGATGAGGTAGACTGCTAGGGACAGAGTGTCGTGCCAGGGCGAGACAGAGCACGAGGGGGCGGGGCGGGGCGGAACGAGTGGGGTGGGCGGAGAGCTTAGGGATGAGGCCCAGCATGGGAGGAGGGCCAGGGGCAGGACTTAATCAGAACCAAATCACTGGTCAGGTGCGGTGGCTCACGCCTGTAATCCCAGCACTTTGGGAAGACGAGGCAGGTGGATCACCTGAGGTCAGGAGTTACACACCAGTCTGGCTAACATGGTGAAACCTGTCTCTACTAAAAATACAAAAAAACTAACCTGGCATTGTGGTGGGCACCTGTAATCCCAGATACTTGGGAGGCTGAGGCAGGAGAATCACTTGAACCAGGAGGCGGAGGTTGCAGTGAGACGAGATCGTACCACTGCACTCCAGCCTGGACAACAAGAGCGAAACTCCGTCTC